CAGATACTAGAAGGTCAAGTCATGCACCAAATCCCACTCCTTCACGCCCACCCCTCATATGCACACACACAGACAACTTACCAAGCAGGCATACCATCCTGCGTAATTGAAATCAGAACACTTTTGCAAATAAGAAAAAAAAAACCTATTCTGACATGGTAAAAGCAAATGGGAAAAGAAGTATAAGGAGGAGGCATAAATGCCAGAGACAGTTAATGTCCCCATATTCCTGGAGGAACTCTGAAAGAATAACATAAAAGCAGTCACCATTATTCTCAGATCGTATAGTGACAGCAGCTGCTCTTTCCTGCTAAACACTGCAGTCCATGTCTGAGAAACCCACTCACCAGAACTATTTTGCAATCCTGAGGAAAATGGATATCCCATACTCCACAATATGGTCTCTGAAGGGAAAATAACTTGTGGCTACCAGAATACAGGTTGCAGCAGTATCCTAAGTCTAGCTGATGATACCAACGCACCAAAGAGGCTTCCTCTTTCACCTAGAAATGCAGGGTGGGGCCAGGGTTCAGTTGGTGATACCGATGAATACAGTCACTTACATTATCCAGTTACAACACAATGAAAAATGCGAAAGGTTTTAATGTAGGAAAGGGAATTGTCAATATTTTACTTCATCATCAATCATTTTAATACAGTCAATGGCATCCACCTTTACCCTTCTTCCAGACGTACAACAGGCGTGGGGATAATTCAAATGCATCAGCTCAATAAGGCAAAATATTCCAAGTATTTTCATATCATCTAAAAAGACACCAAAGCCCAAAAAGCAGTGGGAAAATCGTACCTGACCTCTAAACTGACGTTCCCAGGGAAAAGGTATTAGCAGCCCTCTGAAGCAGTTTCCCATACAGCACAAGATAAAGGAAATTCAATAGACCTCTTCTTTCCTCTACCACTTCCAGACCTAAGTGGGTGCTGTCATGCTACCAATGCACCAGCATTTATCTACTATAAATTAGCAGGCAGTTTACATCCTGTCATAAGACACTGAGGTGGCATTTCTTTTTCTGAAGTGAATTACTGGCTGCTTTTCAAAGCAATTTAAGATTGCCATGCAAGTGTGCTATTTAAAAAAGAAAAAATACCATTATCTACCATTCCATTACTATTAAATTAATATTAAGTTCTTTCTCTTACTGCCCTCTTACTTGTACACCCATAAATGAGTTTCTGTATTAGCAACATTATTACTGATTATTTAAATTGCATTTTTTAGTCTAGGGGACCGTTTCTAAGTGTAAAAACCTTATTTCAATCAATTTTAAAATGTCTTGGTTTCCACCAAACTTTGTACTTGGCCAGGAAAGGGTTTGATATTACAGAAGGGGGCAAGGTGTCCTCAGAAGTTTCCTATAAACTAGACTATCCATAATATGGTGAACATTTTTGTAGGGGATCTTAGAAAAAAAAATTCATTACTGATGGGTCAACCGCAGAATCCGTTGTCATTCAGATGTGCTAAATGGTCAGTAAATATCTGTCCCCTAAAGGTTACCTTTGAATACGCACTCAGATAAACATTCACCAATTTAGATAGTTATGCCTACCAATGTTGCAAAAATCATCACTATTATTTACAGATCCTCTGACTAACTCAACTCAGGCATATCCCCCTGCACCCCACCCAGCAGTCAGGGCTTACAAGAGACCTGCATGCAGTCAGTTACAGAATCATGACCTTGGATGCCAAATACAACTCTTTGGATATCTTCACATATATTTGTGTCCCCCCTAGTTCAATATTAAAAGTACTAAAATCTTTCAGGATCCCATGCCAACATGTTTTGGACCTTCTGAAGCTACGAAGTACAGAAGCGCGTAAAATCTGATAAAGAATTAACCAACTATTTCAAACTTTAGAACAGGTTGCTTTAGGTTCAGTACTGAAATTGGTATGGTTATTAATTTAGATTTGCTCACCTCTATTTCTCATCGGTCTGCTCCTCAAGCTATCCATGACAGTAGTTCTGCTGAAGTCAATTTAACCAATCATATTAGCAAGTACTCATGAATTGACTCTCATATTTGCAATTGGTTACAGGGCTGAAGAAAAGCCATTCACAGAAATAGAAAAAAAAAAAAATGGGAAAAGGGTATATTAAAGACTGTTTTGGCACTTTAGCTGAGGTTCCTGCCCCATGTACTTATGAAAAATCTAAAGAAATAATTACTCCTAAATCTTATTTGTAATTCTTTTTAAACACCGTTAGTCCCAGAAGACAGGTCAACACAGTTTGCATTCACAGTTTCAATGCAAGTAAAAAAAAAAGAAAACAAAAGCAGTTCAGGTTCCTGTAAGACTCCTCATGAAACTATGACAATGTTATGCAAAGATGACATCACCATATGACAAGGAAGGGGAAAAAAAGCAACTTCTCACCTTTGTCATCAAGTAATTGCTCATTGACTTCAGCATTGATAATGTATCAAGTGGAGATAGCTCTGCAAACACGACAACTTGACAGACAGTACTAAAGAAATCTCATGGAAAAGTTATTGCAACTCATGGTTGCTGGTTTGCCTGAGCTAAGCAGTTTCACACAGCAGGATAATAAGTTCCCCTCTTTGCTAAAGCAATTGTTCTTCAAACCTACTTTGTTTCGGCTCTAGCCTACACATTAACCATATGTTTGCAAGAAATACTGTGAAGAAGAATGATCTTCTGCTAAAACAGATTAAAATGTAATCTCCTTCCGGTGAACGGCATATTGATAGCACTGTCATTTTATAAACTTTCACCATGTACACTTGAAAATTGCTGGATGCTTTACACCACCATTAAAATCAAGGAATCAAGAACAACTTCTCCAACATAATATTTCAACACTTTTAGGACTTTCCCCCTGTTATAAATCTCCAAACCTACATTCTTAGATTCCCGTTTACTTTTCTACTTAATAGGACATCTAGCAGGGTTTCAGTAGAATTGGGTAAGTAACAGCTGCCGTTTACAATTTGTGACAAATGAGCTCAATATTAAGAAATGCAACAGGGATTTAGATTGAAACTCCATCCAAATGCTGATTCTCACTGGTAAGTGTGATAATTTGTTTGGATGATTATCTATTTTCAGCATTCAGTCACAGGAATTAAAAAGATGATGTGCCACTTGCACATCTTGACTTCTAAATTGTTAGGGGGGTGGGGAAGAGGTTCTCCTAGAACTAATTAATTGCATGTGGCATTCAGATGTCAACATCCACTTTCTGTTTATACTAATCACAGACGTCGATAGGAAACAAAACCTATTTCAAAACCGGTATGTACTTACTATATATTACATGTTTTGTATGTAGGAAATATTTTTCATGTTAAAATGAAAGACATCTATTTTAATGCTTTTGGACCAGGTCTGTGGTCACATTTAAAAATTGTTTCCTTATATTTGCTAAAGTATATTATGTTGTGTTTGTTTGTGTGTCCCCACTATGGAGACATGAAATAATTCTAAAAGGATTAAAGAGGACACGTTGGCAGCTGCTAACTGCCTCAAAAACCCCCTTATAATGGAAGCTTTCATTTGGGATATCTGGCTTCCCATTGTTCCCCCTTTCTAATAATCAACTCCAATGTAATTTAGCAAAGAAGATATCATTTTAAAATAATGTCAAAGTATTACATCAGAATTGACAGGAAGTTTCACACTTGACTGATAGTGAATGCTACCTCAGTCTCTTTATTGAATCAGAAAAGATCCATAGATAATTACTGAATCTCAATATAAAACTCAAAACTGCAAAATATTTCAAAGACTATTGAGTGATCTGTGCCAATTGGTATAAAGCTTAAATCAGAAATATTAGGAGGACATGAAGAGATGTAAGGCAGTCCAGCATTCTTGATTCTCTCATCTACCTGAAACTTCACTCCCTCATTCTATCCCTTTTCCTCTCACCTACACTTGTAGCTCACATGTGCTCATTTCAAGCAATAGAAATGACAGTTACTTTCAACATACCTTCAATGGGGGGGAAGTGGGGAGAGAAGGTGCTAATCAGTGAACACAAAGGGCTCCTCCAAAAAACACCAACATGAGTATTTTATAGAGAATTAGAAAAAAGGGGATGGACACATTTCCTTGACACTGTGATTACACATTTGGAGGATCTGCAAGCATACACAGTATTTATTAACGAATACAGCAGAAAATATACCAAACATCTGTTGATGAGTATCAGAAAGCATGAAAGCTTAAAATCAACCGCGGTGCCATTTAAAAGCAACTTTCCATCTCCGAACAACGTGATAGTGGGATAGTGCTGTAGCTTTATCCTGCCTTTACTGAACAGACTATCCCTCCAGCACTGTGAAACCACTAACTGCTAGGGGGGGAAATGTTTAATATGATATATATCATCAGAATGCTGCATTGTCAGCTTTGGCTCTTATTTTAATTACTGATAGCCTGGGTTCATATTTTGTTCAATGATCTATTGCATTCACACATTAGGGAGTAATGCAGTAACTTTTTAGCATGTTTCTAGGCACCTTGGTACCACAGCAAGCTGTTACCTGTGTTTCAGAATACATACAGTAAATCCTAAACAAGACTGCACTGCAACAAGGCTATTCTAGTGTTTATTTTCAGCATTTTAAAGCGGGGAGAAATGTTAGTATGCTCTGAATTTAGTTTCTTCAGGACCACAGACTACCTGCTATTGCTGCTGTACATGTCCATCTTACAGTTTGTAAAATGCACCCCCCCCAGCCAAACAAGCTTTGGGAAACTGTATAGCATGCTTCATTCGTATGAAAAGATAAAGGCATAAACAGCCTGGAGCATCCAAGTAGAGATTCAGTACCTCTCAAAGTATCAGAGAGGTGGAGGGAAAAAATCAGCTCAAGAAGAGACACTCTGAACTTACAATGGAAGAGGCTGGAATCCATCTCTCTTTTTAAAGAAAGAAGAATGAATCTTAAAAGAATAAAACAGCAGACAAAACAGAACTTCAAGTGAAACAGCCTTTTCTACTCACCTAGTGCTGAACACCAGAACAGGAAGGAGAGGCAGCAAGTAATAGGCAGAGAAGAATTTCATATTGTAGCTCGTCTGATCTGTTTTGTCGGCTTCCTCTCTCACTATCCTCTTCCCTGTGTCTCTCCCACAGGCTTTCTGTTTTCCAAAGCCCTTATTCAGAAAACAGCCGCTCGGGTGTGTGAAGGTCCGTGGATCTGTAAAGGCAGACAGACCAACAGACTGACTAATGAAGAGAGCTTAGAGTGGGGTTTGAGCTTCAGGAGTGATGTCACAGGCAATGGAGCTGCTGCTGCAAGCCTACTGCCTGATAGTCTGTGATTATTCAACACAGTGACTCTATTGATGTCCTGAAGGATTTGTTATTACTAGCAGTTTAAGTGGCAACCAGGGAGAGAGGAGAACACAGTGGTTGGCACTTAACTCTAAGGTTATAAGAGTGCCTTGCAGATTCTGCCTGGAATAACCCCCCCCCCCCCAAAATTTTCTCAAAAAATAAAAACAACTTTGTTTGAATTCGCCCGGAAAAACCCCCCCCCCCCAAATATCTGCAATAATTAAGATCACATTGCTTGGAAGAAATAAATCTGTATAAGCTTCACAGTACAGAAACAGGTTCTCCTAATTTAAAGTAACAGACAGATTCAATCAACCTGATGCACCCTGCTGGGAAGGGCGACCTCTGCAAAGTAGGAATCAAACTTTATTGTTCCAATTAGAAATTCATACACTACAGCTTGATGCTGGCAGTAAAAAAAGACGAGCAGAAATAGCTTGCAAAGATATATTTTGAAACATTAATGTCATCTCTAAAAATCCTTAATTACAAGGAGAAACCCATAAGAGGCTTGAAGACAACTAAGATTTTGTTTTGCTTCCCATCTTTTTGCCCTCTCAGATCTTAATTTTTCTTTAAATAAATCAATAGTTGATAGAGGCACTTTTTTATTTTAACCAGCTATTTATATTCTCTGGGGTTAAATGCCCTAGGTGGTGAATGAAGCCCCTAGTTTTCTCTTGTCAAATAGTTTGTCAGAAATACAAGCCCTAGATGCCATTACATTTGCAAAAATATATATAAACTATAGTGTAGGTTGGATAAAATATTCTCACACTTTAAAATGCACCAGTAGTATGTTTTAGTCATAGTTTAAGTTTATGTAATGAGAATAAACAGTGAATGAAGCAGGGGGGATAAAGAGATCTTTCGGTTGTTTGTATCCTTAATCGCTTATGTGAAAGGCAACAGTGATATTGTATATACATAAGAGGAAAGCCTTCAGATTTCAGTCTATGTTTCTTTGCTTTCATTATTCCCTGTGGAGTGAAGTGGGAAACATTTGCTCTCCATCCAAATAGTTACAAGTACACTAATTGTAGTAAATGGAAGGGTTTTTTTTTATTGCCGTAATGGGTACTAGTAAGACATTCCCAAAGAACACAAATATAACCAACACTATTCAGCTTACATGGAAAAGTGTGAAGGAGTGAGAAAAATGACAGTGCACATAACGAAAACAGAGAATGGTGACATTTCCCCTTCTCACCATTTCCTAATGCTAGCTTTCCACTTCAGTATGGCTGGTCATCATATCAGTACAACTGTTTACAACTGCAGAAATGTATTGAATCAATATTCTATTTTTTTCCATGTTTCATACAATGGCACCAATTTCTCTCTCCTTCTCATACTCTGCTTTCTGCAAGTCTTTTCACAGTGGGTGATGAAGTGAACTTGGGTTCACGAAAGCTTGTGCTCTCTCTATATATCTTATTTAGTTAGTCTATAAAGATGTGTATCTATCACGCCTTCTATCAAAGAAGCAGTCACATTACCATGGCTGCTGGTGACTGAATAGTAAAAAAATTCGTAAAAAGTGCAGTCTGCTTGTCATTTCCTTACCCAGCAAACCCAACCTTTCCTGGCCACCAGGCACCTCACGTGCAGTCATGTACCACTGGTTTAATCCTTCCTTCATCCCCTTACATGCACACACAGTTGACTGAGTAAAGGGCACTGGTGCATCAGGGAGTACAGCATGCCAGATGAACCCAGAGTGAGCTTCTCGAAACTCATGCAGTTATACAACCTGAAGAATTATTTCTGAATTATTTTACTGTTTCTACTCTTTACAAAGTGTTTTCCTTTGTAGGGAATTACGCTGCCAGAAGCCTTCATTTTTCCTGATAGTTTGGCCATGGTCTCATAAGAGATCTCAAATCTATAGCTGGGCTTGATGGAGTGAGCACATCAGCATGTGAATGAAAGATGCTATTTTACAGCTATCGTAAAAGAAATATAAAAGGGCTATCACTCCAAGAATCATTCCACCACTGCACTATGACTGCATTCACTGCAAGCTAACACTTTGTCTTGTATTCATTATATACTAAATACACAATTCATAGATTGACAATGTTATATATAGATTGAGAATGATATATTCTGCTTGATTAATGATTAATTATGTATTTGTACAGTGAATATCACAATAAAATACAGTCTTCAACTATGTCAAAGTCAAAGATCTGCTGTATCTTAATGGTTCCTCAGGCTACAGCAATTTCAGCGTGCCAGTGTCTATAGCCAATATCACACAATGGCTTGAAGTGGCTAGCGTCACATCTGGCCATTTTAATTCCCCAGCTTGAATATCCACTGCAGCTAGGCCAACTTTGGGATGAGTTCAGAGCAGGATTAAAACTGAATACCTCTACAGCCGTATCAACCTTCCCTCAACAGGGGGAAGTTGTGTTAGTCTAGGCCAGGGGAGTCACTCATCTGACCCATGAGCTGTGCGAGTTGCATGGGGCCAGTTCAGAGGTCCAACCAGTCCACAGACCAGCCCCATATTCCAGACCCAGCCCATGTCCCAGAGTGGCCAGAGTGGGCAGATCATTCCAGAGTCAGTGTGGATCCCAGGGTGGCCAGAACAGGCACTGCATTCAGCATGGCCCTAGAGAGGCTAGAGTGGGAGCTGGATGGCCCCAAACTGGCCTCTCCAGGACTGTGCTGCATGTAGAGCCTGCTCTGGCCACTTCATGACCATGCCCCACACAGCCTGTGCTCCAGTGGGAATCCACTGCATACTGGTTCCAGCATGCATCCCAGAGTGGGCACCACATGTGGAGCATTGCTTGAAGAGGCAGCACTGGGGGCCTAATGGCAGGGCTCTGTGAGATGGAACTGACCTATGGATCAGATCTTTCCACCCCTGGTCTAGACCCATAGACAACTCAAATAATAAGGAATTAACTTAGCCACGGTATGCTTTTAATGATATTATTAAGTAAATTTACCCAGAGCCAAGTTAACCAGAACACATAATTTATCACAGTTTATTCCAGCCTGCCTCTCACAACCTGTTCCCCTTTCCTAACAGCAAAGGATACATCCAGTGTGATTGTAGAAGGAGCAGAAAGAAGAAAGGAAATCCTTGCTAAAATTATTCAAGAAGTCCTTGAACTAACATGGAATAAAGTGCCATGCCCAAATTATATCATTCCTTCATCCTTAGATCTCAACAGCATCCTGCAGTGGATATCTTTTCAACTATCTGATCTTGAGATCCATAGAGAATGCCTCCCTTCCACCAAGCTATGAATGAACCCCACTTGCAGCATTTTGTAGAAGGGCTCTCCTCTCCATATAGAGCTCCCAGAATTATTCTGCATGTATTTCTCTTTCACAAACCCAAGCCATCAGTCAGTAGGTGGTCCCAACAGTGGGTGACAAATATCTGAAAGTACAGCATCCCTAAATGTCAGAATTTAAACACAAAATAGGTTACAATGAAAATGAACAGGTAAATTCAATTAAGGACATAAGAACATTTTTACAAGCAAACCTCTTTTCCTGTCATTGGAAAATCTAGCTACTAATACTTCAACACTATCATGATATTTCATTGTTCATAACCTTGAATTAAACTCCATAAGTGGCATTCTTCTTCCCAAAAGCAGCTAATTGACCTTATTTTCTACTTTCTAATGTGTTGTAAATTTAAAGACTTATTTAATTTCCATCTTGGGTATTTTAAATAATTACATTTATTTTTCTAAATATATGTGGAATTGTATCAGGTTTTCATCAGATATATAAATACTTTATATACTGTTTTGAATGGTAAAAATTATGCCATATATTAATTAGATTACAATAATTTAGTAAAAAAGCCTTGTGAAGGGAAAGCTGAAAGGCACCTGAGTAAATGCCTTATTTTCCTCTTATAATTAACAGTTTCTCTTCTATGGCTAGAATGTATGCTAAATAAAATAATTACAACACATCTGATGAGTAAAAGTATTTCTGATTATATGGTCCTTTGCAAATAATTATATGCACTAAGCATAAAGTAAATAAAAAGGAAACAATGGAACTGCTACTACACAATTGTTTCCAGTAATGCTAACAATTTTATTTTTTCTGATACCAGTGAGACTTACCAGTTCTACAACTCCTGAAAGCTTGATTAAGTATATTTCACAGTGTGAGAACATTATTCTGTATGCTGTTACACACTTTTGAAGTGTAAGATGAAGCTACAGGCAACTTTTCAAAATACAGCATAAATTCATCTTTCTCCATACCAGACATGACCAATTTTGGTAATACCTAGCACAAGAAAGTCCAAATTTTGACTAGTTCCTTTGTGAACCACCATAAAAATAAAGGATATATTGTTAGGGGATTAAAGTACATATGGGGGTTTGCAATGTGCAAATATGCTAACAGAGAGGTGTGGATGAAAACAAATTATATAAACAGAAATATGTATATATTTTACTACAGAATACTTTACCAAACCATTCTTGTGGTGTCTAAATACAATATTTACTTGCATATAAACCATGAATATAAGACAGCCCTCCAGAAATTAGATTCTATATATGGAAAATGTATACATTTGCTATAAAGTTTTCAGGTATAGAAACTAATTATTGGAGGTTTGCCTTGAATTTGTCCCCCTCCTACCCACTGCTACATCAGAGAGAATAGATCTGGGGGAGGGGTCAGATAGCCCACTTGCCCTCTGCCCCCACCCCAACTTCTTGTGCCTTCAGCTGCATCCCCACATACATATGTTCATTGGGCTGGGCGCCAGCAGAATCAACACTGTTTCAAGCCATGGTGACCCCACAGCCCAGCACTGCATAGTATATATGTATACTCCAGATACTCCCCACAAAGACTCCA